GGCACCCCCGGCCCCGCTCAGCCCTGGCCGCCGGCTCCCGGCCCGGGCATTCCCCGGGCGCGGCCCCGGCTCCGCGCCGCGGAGACTCGCCCTCAGCCCGGCACACGGACACCCCCCGTTCCACGGACACAGCTCCCCGGGGCGGACACCCCCGCTCACTCCAGTTCCCCTGGTGCGGACACCCCGTTGGTCTCCCCCCGCCACCCCCACCCCAGGTGCGGACCCCTGCCCTGCTCACCCTCCCTGCCACCCCCCTGGCTGCAGAGACCCCCCGGCTGTGTCCCCTCCAGCCCTCTCGAGCACCCTCCATCCCCCAGGGGTCCCCAGCCATGGCTGTCCCCCCACGCTCCCGCGTTCTGTTCCCTTCACCCCTCCCCAGGAACACCCCGGATTCCCCCCCGCCGTCTCTCAAGGCCACAGGCTGCTTTGCACCGGGGCTGGGCGGCTCGGGGGCTTTGCCCCCTCCCCAGTCCCACTCAAAAGTTGGCAGCGACCCGGGCACTGGGCTTGGTGCGGCTGTGGGGAAGGGCGTGTGGGGGGGGAGAGCGATTCCCTCATTTCTATCGACCCCTTTTGTGTCTGGACCTGGATTTTTAACCCTTGTTATCGAGTAATCCTTTAATCTCTTAATCCTTTCAAATAACCATATTTTTCTATAGGAAGGCAACAAAAATTAGATATTTTTTCAGTTTGCTGAGGGCCGAAGCGTGCATCGTGTGCCTGGATTTTTCGGCACGCTCCGTAGTCCTGAACAAACAGGAACATAATCTCCGTCTGCCTTGAGCTCAAATGGTTTCAGTGTGATAAATAATATGCTAAATAATTTACTGTATATTTTAAAAATAAAATTAAAGCAAACTACTCAGTCATTTCACTAGTTTTTATTCCATTAATTTCCCCCTCTTTTATATATATATATTTTATTTTAAGGGGGGTACTCTGAGCCTGATCATTTTTACAATCTCAGCTCTAATTTAGCAGGGATTTTGGATACACGGGAGGTTTATTTTATCCATCCCCCATATCCCCTTTGCCTGCTAAACCCACCACATGCATACCAAGATACTGGACATTAATTTGTACATTCACAGGGTATTGTATTATATTATATGCATACATATATATATGCATATATTTACTGAGTTATTTGTCAAACACAAGTACGGCCATCGGCCTTATGGAAATAAGATCTAATTTTATTCCAGCTGTCTATAAAAAAGAAAAGAAAAATTCTTTAAATTTAAAACCTCTCGAACTTTTTTCACGTTGTTTTTTGGGTTTTTTTTAATCGCCATCTGTTCCCCCCCAAAAAAAGCCACTTCCCTGTTTTAAAGCTGAAAAAAAAAAAAAAAGGCTGAAATGAGCAGTTCCCTCGCCTCGTCCCAGCTCCAGAAGCCTCGAGGAATGTAAACTCGGCGGTAACTCCGCTCGCCGAGCACAGTTTGCATTTTCTGCCCGGCTCTGAGCGCGATACGGCGCAAAAATAAACCCTGGGAAGAATTTGCCAATTTTTAACCGCTTCCAAGGCCGCCGTGGTGCCCGCTGGCAGCTCCCGCTCTCCTGCCAGGGTTTCATTTTTCTCCAGTGATTCCTCGTCTCCCCTGGCCCGGCGTGTTTGGGGGGACGTGGATATTTGGGCTCGGCCCGTGGGAGATTGCGGGGCCGTGCCAGGCTGGCAGTGCCAGGGTAGGTGAACAGGGAGAGAAAGAGAAGGTCGGGATTTTATTTTTCCTTCTGCAAGGCCCTGGGGTGCAGGGTGATGGGGAAGAGGTTATTTATTTCTTCATGATAAAGAAGTTATTATTTATAATAAATAATTGTTTATATTTATTTATTATAAATAAACAACTGCCGTGGTTATTTATTTTTGTAATGCTGTTAAAAGTATGTCCTGGGTGATTCAAAGCTGGCGCTGAAGGGCTGCTGGCCTTGGTTTTGAGAAATCCCCGTGGGCTTCCAGTGGCCCAGGGGCACACCTTGTGTGGCCCCAAATTCATCCTGCAGTGTGTCCCCACAAACTGATCCCATTTCTCCTCTGGCAGTGGGGACTCATCCTGCAGCAGCCACAACAGCCCTGGCCGAGGGTGGGAATCCTTTCAGTGCAGTGAGTGGCACCTGTCCCCTGGCACTGGCAAAGGGCACCCCAAATCCTGGCCCCTGATCCAGGGGGTGCTGCAGGACTTGGGGTGCCACGGGCTGTGCTGCCCATGGGGCTGGAGAGCTGCCACCAGACCCTGCGGTGACTGTCCCCACTCCCCCTGCTCCCTGCAGCCTGAACCCCAGTTCCTGGTGTAACCCCCAGGCAGAAAAACACTAAAAATACAAAAATCCTATTTTTTTTGTGTTCCCAGGCTGCCTGTAAACAGTGTTTTGAGGA